TCCAGACCTGTATGTTCCTGAACAAACGTCATTTTGCAGACTCATGGAGGGAAGAGGGGATGGAGGCTAAGGAGGCTGACCTGAGTGAAAGCCCTCAATCCAGGTGCACCTGCGAGAGCTGAGAGGGCCACAGTTCATGTCCCAAGCTGACTGTAGGGATCTGGGAGTTCCTGATAAAATTGGGCACAAGTGTCAGTGGGAAGTGAGCAAGACGGCCCTGCTGCCCCAGGTGCCCAGGCCTAGAGAGCACAGTGAAGAGTGAGCATGGGTAAGAATCAGGCACTGAGTTGTCCTTGCTCCCTGGCTGCCGGCTGTCCCGGAAGTCTATCCCTGCAGAGTGGACTGCTCCCATTCACACACAGGAGCCCTCCTGGGGAAGGACTGAGACCAGAATGATTTCCAAGATGCTCAGAAGGTCCTTGTCTCCATCCGATGAGATTCTTCTGTGACACACAAGAGGGGCCCATGTGGGGAAGAAGTCTTAGCCAGACCCTTGAAGCTATCTGTTTAGCAGAAGATAGGGAAGACAGGCTTGACTGAGGAGGCTTGCCTGCCTCTCATGTAGAGAATTGGGGGTGGATCTCCTGCCTGGGCACTTCAGAAGTGTTTCAAGTGATACAAGAAGTGTCGTGTGTGTGTGTGTGTGTGTGTGTGTGTAAAGCAAGCATTTTGACCAAACATCTGGATTGAATGGCACATCTGCCATTTACTACTGACAAGCAGAGTCTGGAAGAGTCCTAATCGCTCCACCTCAGTTTCCTCCTAAGTGAAATGGGCTAGTGATGAGTGTTACCAGCTGTCTTCCAAATATTCAAATGTGAGATCATGACCCCGAAGACCTCAAAATGTGGCTGTATTTGGAGATAGGGTCTCTACAGATGAAATCAAGTTAAAATAAGGTTGGAGGGTGCCTAATCCCATTTTGCTGGTGTCTTTATAAGAAGAGGAGGTCAGACACAGACACACACAGAGGGAAAGCCATGTGGTTAAAGAGTGAGAAGACTGCCTACAAGACATGGAGAGAGGCCTCAGGAGGAACCAACATGATGCTTTCATAATTTTGAGAAAACAGATTTGTGCTTTTTAAGCCACCAGTTTTATGAGACTTTGACAAATCCAGGGAGACCAAGTGGCAGGAACTTTCTAAGGATTCACTAGGATAATGTGTGTAGAGAGCCCCCCTGTCCCAGACACAGCTAAGGGAAGACTTTCATGCTTTGTAGTCTAGTGCTCACAAACTCCAGGCAGTGTCCCATGCTGCTTCAGGGCCGGAATGGCTGAGGCTTCAGCTTTTGTTTGACTACTTAGTCTGAGTGACTTTGGGTTTTATAGCAAATTAAATACCAATATCCTCTTTTGTACAATGTGGGGAAGAGCAGTGGCTGTGTCACAGAGTTGCTAGGGTGTGAGTCACATGCTGGGTGTGAGGTCACCCATAGCAGGTGGCCATTGTCACTGCTGTCATTCTTGTCACAGGCAGGTCAGCACCCAAAGCCCCCTTCACCAAGGATGTACAATCTCAATTCCACATCCTGGGGTACCTCGTCTGGGCGGGGCCCTGGGAAAGGCATGCAGAGGACACCTGCTCCTTTCTGCTTCACTCCCTGCCCCTGAAGACTCACCCTGAATACTTCTGGGTTGTAACCCTGAGGCCTACAGTCATTGGAAACCATGATATTTATGTCTGGGGTTTCCCAGAAATGTATCTATGAATTCTTGTCTTTCCCTTGGTTCTGCACAGCTTGGGGGTGGGTTTCTGTATCTGCCAGTTTCTAACCTTTGCTGTGGTAGAGGACTTTCAGATGATGTGGCTGAGGACAGGCATTCTGACCTCCATACCTTTGGAGTCATGTGCAAACACCTCTATCTTCATAGGATAAACTAAATATAATGTTGAACTTCCAAGGGAGGGTGATTAATTTTAAAATATTAATAAAAGGCAGTCTTTTTATTTCACGGTAGTAATGCCACTTAGGGGATCTAAGCTCATAACAGATTTTAACTGTACAGTATTGCTATCCATAGGCTCAGTGTTGTATGACAGATCTCTAGAACTTCCTCATCACATGTCTTTAAGACTTTATGCCTGATAATTAGCAAGTCCTCAGGCCCCTATTCCCTGCCAACCATCATTCTAGTCCTTTGTCCTTTTAAACCTCCCAAAGGTGCCCTGTATGGCTCCTTGCTTGGCATATTGCACTCGGTATAAGTTCATCCATAGTGACCCACGTGAAAGGAAGTCCTACCCTTTGTCCTTAAAAGCAGTCAAAGTCAAGCCTGAAGAGAAGTTGACAGCTGAGCACCTGGAGCCAGAAAAATCCCACAGAAAGGTTCTGAGTGGCACAACCTGGCCTGTCCCCCACCAGTAATTCTCACACTTGCTCATCTAATGGCCCTTGATGACAGAATAGATGAATGCAGGGTGTGGGAAGCCTGGGGGATGGGACCTGGCCTGGCCAACTTCCATCAGATCTGGGGCCTGCAGGACATGACTTTGAAGTGCTTTGTAGGATCTGACAAAAGTTGGCACATTTTGCCTTATATCTTCAGATGTAAAATAGCATCTTAAGCTCTTTACTGAGAAGTAAACCAGGAAATGCCGCAGGGGTTTCCTGTACTCTCTACCACACACAACTGAGCATCCCTGGTCCCAGGGAACAGTGCGGAAGACAGTCCAGCACCTTCAATTTGGCACCCATCCATCTGTTGTCATCCTTGTCCTTGGATACAGTCCATGGCCTCAACGGGGTGGCAGTGAATCCTTTCCAAGATGTCACAGATGGTAGTTGAAGATGTGACCCATGCCAGAGAGTTTAGGTTGAAGAGGCATCTTGGGGAGCCAGCAGTTCTGAGACTGAGACTGAGACTGTATGTTGAGGCAGGGCTGCTGTTTCTATCCATACCTGCAGTCTTCCAGGGACTGACTGTGTTTCAGGGATAGGAGGGAAAACTGTCCACTGGCCTGCCTACCAGGTCTCCTTCCTGAGTCTCTGTCCACTTTACTACTGATCCTCAATGACAGGTTTGCTTAGCCACCTCATGTCACAATGGCCTCCAGGGCCCAGGAATGCAACCAGATGGGGGACCAGGCATACTTTCCACTGTGTGAAGCTCTGAGAGTGTGCACACCTGGCTTGGCCTGGCACCCACTCTTCACCAAACACCGATAATCACTAAGGTCCCAAGCATCCTGGGAGGCAAGGCCATGAAGATGAATGGCAGGAGTTTCCACCACTGTCATGGCCAGCCCTGGAACTTACAATCCTGCAGAGAAGAGGAGCCCAAAGCAGACAAAGTAAAACACAGCCCTCCTTGGGTTGCAAGAGTTTTATATGGGGTTTTCCTTTTTGTGCTCTTGGCCAAACCATGTAGGCAACCAGCTGTCCATCCAGAGCTCTTAGAAATCTGTGTCAGGGAAACTCTCAGAGCAGAATTAAGTGCAGGAAGTACAGGAGGTGAGCAGATGCTCTGCAAGGACTCAGACTCGCCTGTCAATGCCAAGGACACAACGCCTTGGATTTTGTCTGTTTGCTTGTTTTTGCAAAGTGTCTGGGCTTGGGGGCCTTGGAAAGGAGGTGAACTGGGGAGGGCTTCATTTTCAGACCTGCTAAGTGGAAACAGACTTTGACTCTTCTCTGCAAGGAGAAGAGGTGTGAAGACCAGAATGATCAATTCAGGTCCTGGCCCAGAGGTCCTGATCACTGAGAGTACTTGTCTGCACACTGGTATGCAGCTGGCCAAGCCTTCCCTGTCACCAGGCCAGGAGCCTTTGGGTGGCAGGAGAACTAGAGGCCAGAAGGTAGAGAGATGGACATGGAAGACCTGCTCACACATGCAGGGCCACAGCAATGTAGAAGGCCCCTGGCACCTGGTCTTGAGTTTGTCCCCATCTCCGAGGACTCGGAGATATTCCTACCTGCAGATGCTTCCCCTTGCATTCCCCATGTGCATTTTATCCCTGGCCACTAAAGGTGCCCACAGGTGTAGGCAGCAGAGCTCAGGTGTGGGCAGGAGTGCCCTGGTCAATCTAAGATGGAGGATGCCTTTTCCTGCCCTGCCTCCTCCTCCAGCATGGGACCCAGCAGAAAGCCTTGTTTTCCTCTGAGGCCGCCACACTGGCTGGGTTCTTCTCTTTTCTTTTTTCTTTTGACTGACAGACTCCCTGAAGTCCTGGCTGATTTTCTTGGGGACATATAGATTCTTTGACTCTAAAGGTGGAATCTTAAGTTTTCCAAATTGTCAGGACAATAAAGACCACGATTACAACAACCAGCTTTCCTGCAAAGCCCGGGCACACAGAAAAGACGCCTACCTCTGGGGCCCACAGACCCCTGTCTTCTTCAGTGCGCCTGGCACTTTGCAGCCTGAAAACACAAAGATCATCAGTCCCTCCAGTGTCACTCAGTGTCCCCTGCCCGGGTGGGAGCTGTCTGGCCAGCACTGCTGCGGACCACAGGCTCAGGCGCCGGTGGTGCACGGCGGGCGGGACGCGTGACGGCTGCGGTGCCCAGGCTGCCGGAGCGTGGGCGCGCGTCCCCTCGGCCGGCCGGCGTCCCCTCCGCGGTCCCCTCCGCGGCCCCCGCCCCAGCCCCCCAGCCTGGCTGCGCGCGGCCGGAGCATGCGCCGTGCGCGGCCGGGAGGCGGCGGGGAGGCAGCGCACATCACTCGGGGCCCCTTCCTGCACCCAGCCGCCAGTTGCCGGTTGCTAAGCAGTTATTGTTTCGGTGGCGATTGCAGAGGCTGTTGCTAATTGCAGAAAAGCCCCGCTCAGCAGCCGCATCTCCCCTCTCCCGCTCCTCTCTCTGCGCCCTGCATTTCAAGAGCACAGTGGGCTGCTGTGCCCGTCTCCCTCCCCCACCGCCCACGGACAGCCCCGGGATTTCCGAAGTATGGACTAGAATCGCACTTCTCCTCTCCCTGCCATTTGGACTCTAGTGGTCCAAACTCACGATCAGATCCCATCTGCCCCGCGGTGGCGAGCGCCCCAGACAGGAGGGACCATGACCACCGCCAAGGAGCCCAGCGCCTCTGGGAAGTCAGCACAGCAGCAGGAGCAGGTAATGCTGCCTGGGGACAGGCTGTGTGTGTGTGTGTGTGTGTGTGTGTGTGTGTGTGTGAGAGAGAGAGAGAGAGAGAGAGAGAGAGAGAGAGAGAGAGAGAGAGAGAGAGAGAGAGAAAATGATCTGGTGTTTGTTTATGGCTGTAGCCCCCTGGGCCAAGCTGCTGAGTGAGCTTGGTGGCCATCAGCCTTGCTTCTCTCCCCTCCCACTCCACCCCTCTATTTTTAAAGGATGTCCTGGCTTTATAGATAATGGAAAGGCACAGAAAGCCTCTGGCAAGGTAAACTTGACTGGGCTACCTTTGTACAAAGGCCTCTCTCTTTAATGCTGCCTAATTTGACCTGTGTTAGTTGTGAAGGTTCCCAACTACTTTGTAATTTGGACAAGAAAGGGCATAGCCAAAAAAAAATCCAAAAGCTGATTCTGACCCTCCAGGCGGATTGTGCTCTGGTTCTCAGACAAGTCCAAAGAAATGGAGCCTTGTGTAAAGGACACTCCTGCCCCTGTGCCTCCTGTCTGCTTTCCTCCTCTTCCCTCCAGTATTTCTGGGAAGCAGGGGGTGGGCTGGTGCTCTTCTGAAAGCAAACTCTGCCATTGAAGGATGTTCCCTGAGGACCAGCAGCCTTACTGACAAGGCCTGCCTGGGGGTCCCTCTTGCAGGGGCTGCCCCTGCCCTGGGGAGGCCCACCTTCTGCAGAGGTTGGCAAGTGTGTGGGGGGCGAATGAAGGCGAAGCCATGGGCAGGGCTTCCCCGCTCCTGAAGATCCTGTAATTCCTTTCACAGAAGATCCAAAGGGTTCTTCTGTCTGTTTAATCGCTGCTTAGTTCACTCACCTCAGGCAGATCATTAAAACAGACCCTGGGAGATTCACAAAGCACTCAGCTCCACTCCATAAATCAACAGCATAAACCAATTTCCCCAATGTGTTTTAGGGTTGTCTTTAGGCCACTTTTGCTAGGATTGGGGCAAAGAAAAGAAAAAGAGACCTCTCTAGAGTTCAGGGAAGCAAAGAGCCTCTTTGGGGACACAGTCTGACAGAATCTCACCACACACTAATCAAAGAATGCATAGAGGCAACTTTGGATCTGTATTTAGTGAGAGCTCCATTTTCGGGTCACCCCCAAACCCCATTTTTGATTAAAAAAAACAGACTGTCTCATTATATTATTGTTTTCACCTAAAGAACTTAAATACAGTTCATTTCTTCTGGGAAGAAAGCTTTGTAAATGGGAATCTAAAAATTCTGCTTATTCAGTGTGAGTTGGTGCAGGGGTTAATGCTCAGCTTATCTTGACGGGTTCAGAGCAGGCAAGGCAAACCCTCCTCCTTTTAAAACTTCTACAGAACATCTGCTCGACAAAGAGTATTTCCACCATAAATTAGCATCTTATAACTAACTGGGTCTCCTTTTATTATAGTTCTCTTCCCTCCTTTTGGGCATTCAGGCTTGAACTAGGACCCTGGTAGCATTTCTTCATGGAGCTGATTGAGGTTATAATCATCAAGAGAGCACAGGTGTCTCTTGTTCACAGGCCTGAACCCGGTAAAAAGTTCAATCTACACTATGTAAGAGAATTTCCCGCTTCTGTCCAATTTTCCTCTTGTTCTGCCTGATAACTCAGCATGCTGGAGGGTGGCAGGGGTTAATTAGGGTGTGGGTTTTGGAAGATGTACAAGCTCTTGGTTTGATTTTGTAGCTTTTGATTTATGGAAACTTCTTCCGTTATGGAAGACAGAAACTGGTATAGACTGAAGCCTGAGGGGCAGCCTTGGTTCCAGAGAGCAGGTGGGACACACAGAGGCAGCTTTCCTTGTCACACACAACTGGGAAGTCCTGGTCCTCCATCCTCAGCGGCACCTAAAAAAATTCACAGAGGTGCTCTGGGAAGTCCATAAAGAGAGGGCCAGCAGTGGATAGGAAGCAAAATGGATGGAGGACAAGTGTCTCACATTAAAGTGAGCATATAAACACATACACACACACACACACACACACACACACACACGCACACAGCTTAGAGGACCTTGGCTAAAATCTTAACTGCCCCAAACACAAAGAAGTAGGTGAAATACTACATAATGTCCCTAAAGATTACTCTTATTCCTTTGTGATACATAATTTTCTGAAGGCCTTGACCTGGACCATGTGCCCAGGCTGCAGAGCTCAAAGAGCTCTCTTTAGTTCCCTATTGCACATTTTCCCTCAGCGCTCTGGGAACTTTGGGGCTCGTGCCATGTCTGGGCTGGGGGGCATCCACAGACACAGGGCGAGAGGAAACTGGCCTCTTATTTTGGGAGGGAAAGGGTTCCTACTTTGTGGTTTCAGTTGGGAGTCATTTAGTTATCCTCACTAATTCATGGCCATCTACCTCTGCATCAGCAAGTGTCATCTCTTATCTGAAACTCAGGAGCAGTGGCTCTTTGCCCCCACATTGGGAGGCTTTCTTCCCAGGGGTGGATCTGGTATAGCCTGATGCTTGCAGGATTCTTCAGGACGTATGTGGTCAGTGCCATGCAGGGATCCTGCATGGTGGGTTCTTAGCTCACGGGAATAAGAGTTACCCCTCCTGCACCTGCCTTGGTCCTGGGGAGCCAGGCGTGTGGCTGGAAAGAAATGACTTGTATACTGAGGATTAGCACAGATTAATAAAAATATTAGGAAAAGATAAAAAACCAATCATTTCCCTATGAAACAGAGATTCCTGTTTTTATTTCCCAACTTGCTGAAATACAAATAGATGAATATGTGTGGTGCTTTTGTTTTGAAGGCAACTGTGTGGATACATTGGAGTAAAGGGGAGAAGGGACTTGTAGAAGACAATAGCTCTTACTATTTTCAAATGAAGTAGGGTCCCAGGGATGTGTGCAAGCAATTATACGTTAATCTGGTTGTTGAATTCACTCTTTGGCTCTGAAACCTTTCATATGGTGCTGAGACCCGAATCTACTCTGGTTCCACCTGCCTCTCCCCACCCCACTCCTCCTGCAGGGTGAAACCCAGTAGATGAGGAGGAAAAGCTGGGGGTGGTTTGGTTCAAAGTTAGTGTGCTCTTAGAAGGAGACTAAACCCTTCCTTAGAAAACCAAATGCAAGGAGTTTGCCACCTATAATTTCAAAAGTCCAGATTTATTCTAACATAGATTATCCCCGTTTCAAATGACTTAAGATTGCAAAGTAGCAATCAGTAATGCTACTGACTAGGAGAAGACAGAAGAATTAATTCTGGATTTCCCCAATGAGCCACAAAACATTTTCACTCAACTATTGAGCAGGGGCAAGTTTTCGGTGGCATATTCTCTGTATGCATGCATGTGTGTGGACATGAATGCACACCCACAAACACACACAGAAACACACTCATGGTCAACACCATAAACACACACAGCCCCCCCGTGTCACAAAGTCAGACTTGTAAAAAGACCTCCCAGGTGCGCCATTGTGCTCTTGTGCTCAGCAATCGTGCTTTATGTGAGAGCCTGTCTTTCCTCCATGGAGTGCCAGAAAGTGTTTCCGTGTGTGGAAGCAGTGGACTTGGTAGCTGCTAACTTAGGTCTTTTGCCCTGTGTTGAGTCACACTGTAACTTCTCTATACCTGGCAATATCCTGTTAGGACCATTCCTTGTTAGGTGACAGTTACTTCGCATTACTTCTTTTTTCTAAAACCTGTGTAAGACAGAATAGCCCTGCTGTATCTATCCTCCTATTAAATTATGGGCCCCAGAATCTTGCATGGTTAAATTATTTGTCTGAACATTTTTTTGTATGTTCTGTGTGTGTGTCTGGTACTGGGGCTTGAACTCAGGTCCTACACTTTGAGCCACTCCACCAGACTTTTTTTTTTTTTTTTTTTTTGGTGGTGTAAGTCTTTTCAACATAAGGTCTCACAAACTATTTGCCCAGGCTGGCTTTGAACCATGATCCTTCTGATCTCTTTCTCCTGAGTAACTAGGATTACTGGTGTGAGCCACTGGTGCCCGGCTATCTAAACATTTTTGATAATGGCTTTACAAAAGATTTTTCTTTTAACAAGTAGAATTTTATAAACCATACATTAGATAGACTGGACATTAAAAGGCATGGTGTGTAGCCTTCTGAGAAAGGGTGGCTGATCTCTGGGGGTGTCTTGAACAGGACCTTGCATGTTCTTGCCTGGTGCTCATGTTGATTCTTGGACTAGTTGAATTTGACACTGAAAGAGGGGATATGGCTTTGGCCATGGTGAGAGTTAAATGTTTTGTGTAAGCATGTTAGAGGAAAAGCCAATGAGTAGTGTCTACATTTTGGTATTAGGATTAAAAATAAGAGGGTGAAAAAAACCCACAAAGATACCAGTCAATATTGGTAAATACGGCCATGATGTGTGGGTGGCCAAGATAGGAGAGGGGTGCCCTTTCAAGTATCACAAAAAGTGACATTGGTGGTGACTGTACTCAGATAAATGAAATTCCATTCTGTGCATGAGTTATCTAAGTTATCTAAGATCCTCTGGATAAAAGGAAACTTGAAGGAGCTGGTAAAACGCCTAGGACTTCCTTCATGGCAAGGAGAAAGATGGATGACCTTTGGCTGCAAAATGGGCTGATGTAAAGGATTTCGGGGGAGAACTGGGAAGTCATGGTATCCCACATAGAACACAGCACAAGAGGTCCAGGCCTTGGAGCCTGTGGGTCCTGGTGCAGAGGGATGGGGGAAAGAGGCTCACTGGTGGGTTGCTGTCCTCAGAGGAATGTGTTTGATGTTATCACCAGAGAGCAGCATGGTGATGAACGAGCAACTAGCTTGAGGCTGTAGTGAGCTGTGCTCTGGGGTCTTATGGGTAGTCCCCAATCTCCTAGGATCCACGTCACACCATCTATTAAACAAGGCCACCAACTAGTATCACTTGGTGCAGCCCAAACTCAAAACAATGGAAATCAGTGTCTTCACTTTCTGAAAAACGCTCTTGTGTGGTAAATGTGCTTTATTATATCATGCTGATATTCTGTTGAATTTAGTC